AATGAGTAAAAGCTGACAAGTTGTGGGTGAGCTGAAGTTATAAAGTGCCAGATTTCACAGACGATCACTGTATTCAGCACATATTAGCTAAAGGCAAACACAGACTGAAAGAATATGAAAAAGCCATGACCCTTTTAATCTTTTTTGTCTTGAAGATTTCAAAGCCTGGTAAATTACTTTTCACAGATAGTTAAGAGGTAAATTATTACAAAGGACTTAAAAAATGTGCTTGGAACATAGTGGGGCTCAATAAATATTTAATGAATGAATTAAAGAAATAATGAATTTGTTTATTGTAGTGTGCTGATAGGAAAACAGGGACCCAATTATGATACATAGAATTTTCTATCTTGCAATTTGTCTTTAAATGTTAATTAACATGAATACTTGTGAGTTATCTGATCAAGTCTGAATTATGCTATACATTAAGTCACGCTAAACATTTCCAGCAACTACTTTTTCTAGCTGTTAAAAGTGTCAAGTTGCTGCAATAATCAGTAGTGAGAAAATTAGAGCCAAATAAGGTCAGAAATCCCCAAGCTATTGTTTTGATGGAATTTAGCCTAACACACTAACCTGAGAGAGTATTTATAGCTGGCTCTTAGGGAAGGAAGGCCTAAGGTTTTTCAACTTATAGATGTTCAAAGATAATAATTATAACCAGGACAATTTTTAGTATCAGGACTGTGTTCTGTGCTTTCATAGCAGATGAATGTGTGAAGGGATAGCCACTTAATTGGAAGCAAGAGAAAGAAACTTCTACAGATTTCCTGTAATAACCCTCATAAATTTCAAGCATTATCTCTGTTTTAAGATAGACCCATTCTTCCTCTTCTACCCCAAAGGGGTCGGATAGATGAACCGCACCCTCTGCATAAACCTGATTTTTAGTCTATATTGAACCATAACACTACTCATATGATCTCTAGAAGTTAGATGGGTAGAAAGTTAATAATATAGGCCGGTCATGCCAAAGAAAGTAGTCTCTTAGAGAATCTGGTTCAGAAAGTTAAGTAACTTTACATTACTCATATGGTTTAGTAATACTTGGACCCCAAATTGAATTTGTTGATTAATATGTTTTAAAAAGTGCACAATTTGGGGACTAGCTGGGATTTGGGCAGTAAGTTTTATATATATAGTCTGATATTCATGAGTTTCCAAAGAGATAGGTTATCTGGGCCTTGAGGAATTTCTTTTTGTTTTCTAACACATTGTATTCATCTAGGAGGTTTAAGGGATTGTCAAGGAAAGAAGTCTTGACCTTAACAAGTTAGAAATGGAGGATCTGCAGGCGTAGATTAAATTTAATCCAGGAAGCTTTAGGAATATCTGGAAACTGATATATGTAGTAAAGCCATTGCTTATCGGAAGTGCCAACATCATTTTATAACACAAAAGAACAGAACAGCTTCTTGACCATGTAAAATGTTAACTGACCTTCATACTGGTATACATTCCTGTTGAACAGTATGCTATCCATTTCAATCCATGTTTCTTTAGACTAGCCAGTCACACAAAGGAAATAAAGTAATTTAGCAGACTCTTTGAGATCACTTTATAATAAAACTTAGTCTCAAAAGAAACAATTATTTACTTAGTGGTATAGTCTCTTTATTCCTATCTTCTCTTTTGATGATTTAAGCTGTATATACATTACTGCTAGATTAACTTTTCACACAGAATTCTAATTACATTATTCTACTCCCAAAATTTTCACACCTATCCATTATCTGCCAAAGCAAGTAAGAGTATAACTTGGCATTCAATGATTTCCACAAAAATAGCCCCAACATATTTTTCCCAATTTACTTCCTAGCAGTGCTCCTTTCAATACATAGATAGCTACAAGCTCAGTCTTCCAGCATGCCTAACTTATTAGGCAACTGTGGCCCCTTAAAGTATTGGAGAAGAAAATAGTCAGTTGCCAACTTGAGCTCTAACAGAGAGAACAATACTCTAGTACCTCTCTGAAACACCAATTTGATCTATTATGCTCTTGTTTAAAATCATTAGAGTGAGCTTTTACTAAATCTAGGATCCATGGGCCAGGATGTGGCTAGAATTTAAGGGGTCCACGGTCTTAGATTGGGAAATAAAATTTTATTTTTATTTTCAATAATCGCTAGCTGCAATTTGGCATTTTCTTCAATAAATATAGGCAATAATTCAGAATAATATCAGCAATTCATCTTCTGTCAACAATAGAAATAGGATATTTTCGCATCATATTAAAGTTATTGCAGGTACCCTGAAATAAAATTTATACTCATCCTTATTTTGGAATTACACAATTAAACCTGCTGCCAGATGGTATTTATTGCACAAAGAAGAAACATGCATAACTACATCACATGCTTGTTTTAATATTTTTAAAAATTTGAAAAAATTGGTTTCATTCATTTCCATGTATTTTATTATATGCATTTAAAAACATTCAGAGATAGGGGTCACAGGCCAGGCTATCAAAGAGTACATAGCATGAAAGAGGCCATTTTCTTTTTATCTTAGTTATTTATACCTATTAATTGATTACAGAATATAAATATTTTAGCTTGGGATTCAAGGCTACATTTTATCATCTTTATCTCTGCCCCACCCCTTTTCTCCATATTATGCTCTAGTCATACCAAGTGACAGTGACTCTCTTATCTGGAGGCTGAAAGACAGGTTTTTGGATTAACCCTAGTTAGAAGATTGTAGCCCTGCACTGGCTTGGGCTTTGCCTTTACATCCTTTCTCTGTCAGTCAAGTGAATTCTTCTTCTAAAGGTTTGTTTTCCCTATTACTATAAAAGCCTAGTGGGGCTTTATCTTAAATATCTTTTAAAAATACAAAAAAATATGTTTACTGATTTTAGTAGAAGGGAAAGAGAGAGGGAGAAAAACATTGATGTGAGAGAGGAACATCAGTTAGTGGACTCCCCATATACACTCTGATGGGGAACTGAACTTGTAACCTAGGTATGTGCCCTGACCAGGGATCTAACCTGTGACTTTTTGGTTTACAGGAATACGCTCCAACCAACTGAACCATACTGCCCAGGGCCTTCACTATCTTTATATCTCATTCCTAACTAAAATGATTGGTGAAATGTATAACTGGCAAGGCACTGTGTGTAGTTGTCTCCAGGGCAGCCAAGTTAGTCTTTGCATTTCATAAACTGGCTCAGCTCTGACTTTGTTAGGGATAAAAATGAGGATGTTCTTGAGCTCTAAGGCTGGATCCCCAGCTAATAAATCCTGAATGGAAGGAAAAGGGAGAGGAATAGAAGGGCTGTAACCGAGGGGACCTGATTAAAATTAAGTGATGGAACTGTGCGGAAGGGAAAGGCAGGAAGGACTGCTTCTTCCCTTTCCTAGAGCAGTTATTCTACACTTTCATCACTGTTGAAGCTTCTTATTCCATCCTCAACTCGCTCTTATCAAATGAGTCCCACTCTCATGTCACAGAGCCAATTCCATACCTTTCTGTCCTTCCCTACTTCCCAACCTTTTCTTTTCTCTAGCTTAGTGGTTCTCAACCCTCGGCATCAGTTACCTCAGAAGAGAACACTGATGTATGGCCAGATGTATGTATGTTTAATTGGTTTTGGGTGGAGCAACAACATTGGTTTTATTTTTTATTTTTAAAAATTGATTTAAGAGAGAGACAGCAAAACACCACTTTGCTGTTCCACTTAGTGATGCATTCATTGGTTGCTTCCTGGGATCGAATTCACAACCCTGGCAAATGGTTGGACAACGCTCTAATCCACTGAGTTACTTGGCCAAGGCCTGATTTTATTTTTTAAAGCTTCCCAGATGATTCTAATACGTTACAAGGCTGAGTTCCATTGGTTCTCTTGATCCTATAGATTAGACATCCTCAACCCATTAAGTCTCCACTTCTTGCTTTCAGGGTACAGTAAGTCTCCTATCTTTAAAGAAAATATACTTGCAGCCCATATTCTCAGCCCTCATCCTTTTTACCCTTTACAATAATGCTTCCTTAAAGTGAAGGCTGCACCAGTATAGTTTCCACCAGCTATTCCTCTTTTTACTGTTCCGGACCAGTACTATCATAAGCTTTTGTGCCTGTCACTTTTTCTCCTTTTCTCTCCTATTTCTTTGATCAGGTACTGCTCACTATCATTCTAACACGTTAAGAGTGGCTTAAAGGTCGCCCTGGAAAGGGTTTCTTCGTGTCCTTTTACACAACTGATGGCCTCCCTTCTATGAATATCCTATGCTTTTTCCCCCTATTATAATTTTACTTTACTACCACTGCGGATTCTCTCATCGTCTTCCCCATTACACAGCATTTCAGGAAGCTGAGTGAAAAGTCGGAAGAATGAATGGAAAGGAGGACTAAGAAACGCAGATCGAGAGTGGGGAGGGGAGAAGGGGCGTGGTGTGAAAAGGGGCGGGGACTAAGAAGGGCCGCGCTGAGAACCTGGCGTCAGAATTGGGCAGGGGGCATGAATACCCTAACTCTGAGTGGGCAGCGAAACGGTTCCCTGCCGGAATACACCGACCTACAAACCGAAGTCTGCAGGCGGGCGATTTCTTACCTGCCTGGTGCCCCACCACCTCCACCAGCCTTCAGGAACCTCAGTATTGGCCGGAAAGCGAGAGCTATGGTCGCAAACCCTGAGTTTTCTACCCCAGCCTTGCGACATTACTCCCCAGTAGAGGGAGAATCTAAGGCAGAGCTCCCAGCTCTGCCGTACGGTGAGGAAAAAAGTTTGGGCGGGGCGGCCTGGGGCGGACGGAATGGGGTGTGCCCACGCAAGCGCACACTCCACTCACTGGGAACGTCACGTGCAGGCGGGCGGACTCCAGTCGGCGGTAGGGGGCGTGGGAGGTAAGTGCGCGCGCGCCTGCTCCTCTGAGTCCCGCGGGGCGGGGCCGCGTGCGCCGGGTCGGGGGCGCGCGGGCGGGGAGCCGACTAAGGACTCGGCGGCGGTGGTTGATAGCTGCTTAGAGTCCAACCGGGACCTTGAGGGTTGGTGGCGCAGGCATCGGCGACACCGGTAGAGGCGGCTACAGCGGTGGAGGCAGAGATCCAACGCGTGCTCTCTGGGCGGGGTGCGGCGGGGGATGTGCCTACTCAGGCCGGGCGGAGTCTCTCTGACAGGGCGGGGGATGCGCGGCGCCCGCTCTCCTGGACCCTGAAGCTGCTGGGCCCACCCTTGCGGAACAGTCGGACCCTTGCTGGCTTTGGCCTCTCCTCTCTCCTCTGGCCTCACCCTGGGGCCGACGGTGGGAGGCGTCTTCCGCCAGAGAGTAGGGGCTGTGGTGGCCACCGCGGCGGAGCCGGAGGTAAGACCAGCCCTAGCCGCCCAGCGGCCCCGCCGTCCGGCCCACGTCTCGGTCTCGCTTTCGGGGCCGCCCGGCTCCGCCCCAGCGGAGACGCCCCATGAACGGGTCTGTCCTGGAGCCTCCCAGACTCCGGATCACTGCTTCGGGTCCCCAGTAGACCCCACCCATCGTATCTCCATTGGCCAGACACCATTTCGGCCTTCCAGCCGCCCGGGCCGTTGTCATGGGGGCTCCCCACCCCAGCACACCCCCTTAGAACCCTCCGCGGACTTTTAGGACTCTAATGGAGCCTACAGACTACGTTACATTCTCCCGTGAGCTTACTGGATCACAGTTCCTCTGAGACCCAGTAACGCCTGCCCCTAACCCATTGCAACCCCCTAGCTCCAAGGCAGATCCGTTGCTGTCCACCCTGTTTCGCCGAGGACCTCCCCTTCCCAGGTCGCTCACCTCCAAGCCAGCTAGCTATTTACCTAGGCAGCTGTGCTTTCAGACGGTCTCTTTCGTGATGCTCTTACCTCCCAGCAGATCTGGTGTCAGCCCCGCTTTAGACACTCCCCTTCCCCACTCCTCTCCCACAGCCCTCTGTTTAGGCAGATCTTGTAATCTTTTTTCTTGGTCGTGATTCTTTCTTTGGTTGAAAGGACTTTGCCATGAACTGGTGAAGGGATGTTTGCTTATCCTACTGATGTATTCTCCCCAGTTGGTTTAAGGGGACCAGCTGACACCCACATTTGAAGGGTTTAGTCTGGTGGCTATGGAAGGCAGGTAGAGGGAAGAGTGTGCAAGTCCAGGGCAGGGGGTGTGTGCTTTATAGGGTCACACAGCCTGCTTCTCATCCTGTGTCTTCTGTAGAACGTGTGAGATTGTCCAGGTCTGATATTTTAGGGACCACTATAAGGATTAAATCACATACCACAAAGTGGATGTCACCGTGTCTCAATGTAGTAGCATTTGCTTCCCCTTGCAGATTTTACCGGTCTTTTTGCACTGCTTTTGAAGGATACCGGAGACTATTTTTTTGATTTGCTCTTTTTGAATTTGCTGGAAAAATAAGATTTGTAGCTTTCCTTAATCCCTAAAGATTTAACTTCGGTTTAGTAAATTTATGCTACTTGGTGCTGCTGTCTTGCTTTTCCAAGGAGCAAGTATGATTATCATGCAGTGTTCACTGGTGCTCACCAACCTCCTTCTCAGCAGTAGTAAAATATTGAATAAAATGGTTCTGAGCTGTCAGTAAGGAAAGGTAATGTTATACACCAAATGATCAGTGCGTAATTTTAACATTGTTACAAGAATAAAGTATAAAGAGGTTTTAGTAGTCAGCACATTTAAAATTTTTATTTTGTGTGGAACTGAAGAGAGGAAAAATCATATTTAAAACTATAGGTAATAACTAGACATAATATAGGTGTCAGAGGGGTCAAAATAATATGCAGTAAAAAGTTTCTCTTTATCTTCCAACCACCCACTTTCACTCTTTAGAGACAATCACTACTTCCATATTGGTGTGTGCCCTTCCTGTGATATTTCTAGCATATACAAGCCTACACGTTTTTATTCTTAAAACACACTAAAACTCTTTTTTATAGCTTTTTATCCCTAGTTAACAATAGATCCTATAGGTCATTCAACATTACGTATGGTAGTACCTTATTTACTGGCTGGATGGTAGTGTTCCATTTTGGTGGTCTTGAGGTAGTTTCAATTTTTGCTTTTACAAACAGTGCTGCATGTTTTGCTTTTAAATGTATCATCTGTTATATGTATGCTTTAAGTCTATTTCAGGATTTGAAAACATTTTCTGATGATTTTTTTTGAGCTGAACCTACAAAAAAAGATGTAACTAAAGTAAATGTCATTGATCTGAACTTCTATGGAGTGACTAGCTTTGATGGTGATTATAATATTTATCAAATAAGTTATTAAAGGATTTAAAGTAGGGGACTGAAATGATCAGAATTGTATTTTTAAAAGGTCACTGGCTGCAGGGAAGAGGGTATATTAAAGTATAGATTAAGGCTAAAGTCTGGAATATCAGGAGGGCAGTCCAGGCAAATGAAGATAGTGGGTCTGGATTTGGGTATTAAGAGCAGACAAGACTGGATGATTTCAGTGGGTTTGGGATTAGGGAGAGGGTTCTTTGAAGATAAGATCTAGATTCTAGCTTGTGCCTTACTCTGTGGTAGAGGAGATCGATGTGAAGAAGGAGTAGAATTTTTATTTTTGTCAAGAAAGAGGAATTCAATTTGTGTCTTGTTGAGTTTGAGTGATTATACTTTTGTCAGATGTAGATGGCCAGTAGGCAGCTGGTTTTGTGGGTTAAGCATTTTATCAACTTCTGAGTGCACAGTAATAGATTTTGGGAGCAAAGGGTATAGATGAGAGGAGAAAAGATTGTAGGATGGAAACCCAACGTTTACAGTACAGGTAAAGTTGAATATCTGAGTAGTAAATTATGTGGTTAAGTTTAAAAAAAAAATCTTTTTATAGCTTAAGTATCAGTAGTGAAGTTCACTGCCTAACGCGATTTACTAATGTTTTTCCCCCTTTGTTAACATTAGTGTGTATGATTCATGAGGGAAATGGAGTAAACTTAGATTTCTTTCTCTTAATTTATAAATTTATTTTTAAGTAGACTTTTTACATTTAATTTATTTTTAAAATTTCATTTTTCAATTATAGTTGATATTCAGACAATCATATTATTTACAAAGTGATTCCCCCTGATAAGCCTAGTACCTACCTGGCACCATACATAGTTATTACAGTATTATTGACTTTATTCCCTATGCTGTATTTCACAGCTCCTTGACTATTTTGTAACTACCTATTTGAAGTTCTTAATCCCTTCACCCTTTTCACTCATCCTCCCAACCACTCTCCCTGCTGGCAACCATCAGTTTGTTCTCTGTATCTGCGAGTCTGTTTTTGTTTTGTTAGTTTATTTTGCTATTTAGATTCCACATGTAAGTGACATCAAATGGTGTTTGTCTTTCTCTGTCTGACTTATTTCACTTAGTGTAGTACTAGGTCTATCTATGCTGTCATAAATGGTAAGATTTCATTCTTTTTTATGGTGAAGTAATATTCCATTGTGTATATGTACTGCCACATATTTATCCACATCTTGGCTATGATAAATAACACTGCATTGAACATACGGGAGCATAGAGCTTTTCAAACTAGTGTTTTGGGTTTCTTTGGATATATGTACCCAGAAGTGGAATTGCTGGGTCATAAGGCAGTTCCATTTTAAATTTTTTTGAGGACCCTCCATATTGTTTTACCTTGTGGCTGTGCCAGTCTGCATCTCTACCAACAGTGCAGGAGGATTCCCTTTTATCCACTTTTTCACCAACACTTGTTTGCTGATTTATTGCTCATAGCCATTCTGATAGGTGTGAGGTTATATCTCATTGTAGTTTTAATTTGCATTTCTCTGAAGATTAGTGACATTGAGTATCTTTTCATGAAACTAGATTTTTTTAGTAAGAGAAAACCTCACTAGGAATTAGTAATATAAACTCCATCTTTCCTGATCATTTGGATTATACTGTTTTACAGAAGTTTGTTCGGCCTTCAGAGAAGTGCAGGAGGTTTGAAATGTCATTTGCCAAGATGATTTTTTAGTTTGCATGATTTTTAGTAATATTAATTTAATTTAAAATAAATATTAGTCAAAGAGTTTTCGGTCATGTTTCAAAACTAACACCAACTTAATGTATTGCTTCTAAGTCTAGAACTGTTGTGTAGAGCTCTTGCCTCTACTCTAGACCCCTATAAATCACTGCTAATGGACATCTCCACTAGGATTCACAGTTCACAGCACTTCACACATGTACAGTATAAAACTGTTCTCTGCCTCTTTTCTCCCCCAAAAAAGTGGGTAAGAGGGAGACAAAGTGCAACAGATTTTTTTCTTTTGATTTCCTGTCTTTATGAGCAGCGCCACTCTTTTCTTATGAAGCCTCAGGAACCTGGGAATTGTCTTTCACTACCAGTGTCATAAGTCCCGCACATTCTCCCTTGTGATATTTTATATCATTCCTAATTGCTATACTTGTCATCTCTACTTTATTTTAACCCAAAATATCTGTTGGACTTCTGTAAAGCTTTCTAAGTGGCTGTCTTGCCTTCTCTCTTCTGCAGTTCATTCTCTGCTTTGCTAACTAAGTATTCTAAAATGCTTTTTTCGTTAGGCTTTTTCAGTTGCAAAGAAGAGACTCAAAGTACCTTAAGTAGTGGAGTGCTTATTGAAATAAAGCCCAGGAAACGGGAACCCAGGATAAATTAAAGAACTTGGTCTCAAGAACAGGAGCTTAATAAATAAAACTAGAAACAGATTTGACTCTTTGCTGTATTTACTGTTTACTTGTCTTCACTATCCTTTCTATTTCTTTTTGGACTATATTTTTCTCTCTATTCCAGTGCTACCCCTCCCCCCCCAATCCCATAGCTCCCATTTTTTCCTAATTTCTACCTCCTTATAACTGCCATCTCTTCCACACTCCCATCTTTCCTCCTGGCTGCTATTTTTTTTTTTAAAAACTTGAGCTCCTGTTGTAAACTTCTCTCTTCTCCCTAGGATTTTCTGGTCTGAATTCCCAAGAAACAGTCTCTGGCTTAGCTTCTTTTCTCATGGACTGCTACCAAGCGTGTGTATTTGTCATGTGACTACTCCTGGCCATTTAGTGTTGGCTGTGTGTTTATTTGTGCATATGGTAGTGGAGCAGGATCATAATGGTGAAAAGCATGGGGCAGTGTACAGGCTAATTCCTTACAAAATGGGGTTGCAAGCATGGCAGGCACCATGATTGAATTTATAGTAGAAATATAAATTTAATCATGTCCTTTCCTGTTGAAAGGTTGTCAATGTTTTGTTATTGCTTTCAGGGTAAAGCTTAAACTGTAGCATGGCATGTGTATAACAACCTTAATGATCTGACTCTTAATTCCCTGGACTTTCCTTCCTTGGCTCTCTTCCTTAAATACTTTGT